GGGGGGGGGGGGGGGGGGGGGGGGGGGGGGGGGGGGGGGGGCTGCACCCTGAATGTATCATCAAAAGACTTGGCAGTAATAGTCAAATCAATTAGATTCAAGACATTGAATCTACTTCTGGACCTACAATCAAAAACACAGCCCATATACATATTTACAAAACTCACATTGTGAAATAGAAAATGAATGCCTATACAAATACTGTCTGGTTTCGTGATAGTTCCATTTCAGCGACTGCCTCTTTTAAAGGAAACAGCCTACTCAAGTGTCATTGAGAAGACTGAGGGCTGTACCTGTGCACCAAGAGACACCCGGCCCTCACAAAGAACAGGCTATTTCAGATGATCCTTATCTAAATAAAAGTTTAGTGTTGGGAGGTTTCAAATGGCTGTCAAAGTAGAACATAACAGAAGTAACTCAGGAGTATTCAAAGTATATATTATCTCTGTAGGGATTGACAAAATATGTTTAAACTTGTTACAACTGATGGCCAACTGGAAAATACAAAGTGGTCACCACAAACATTACCAAACTCCAAGGGCACCATTAAACAAATATCAATGCAGCATTCAATGGATTCAGGCCCCGATAAACTGGGCGATAACAGCGATCTTACGGGCTCATCGTATGCCACATTGTGTGAGATGGTCTCATAAAGTCTTAGTTGCAGTCTGCAATATCAGTTTTGACACGTGTCAGATTGTGTGAAGAAGCTTTGGTGGATCTAGATGGAAATAGAAAAGACATATGCAAGCAGAGGTATGTCATGTACTCTCATCATGTGTTCATGTTTGAATGCAGCCAGTTTTCTGAGGGAGGAAATTAAATACCTTAATAATGATATTGCGATGATTTTGTGGTGTTAATTAACTATTGCTATTACAAAATGAGATTTTTGATTTTTTAAAAATCAGTAATGCAGATATAACGACAAAATGGGAAAAGACAAATAGAACAGCTAGAACAGTCTGGTAAGATGGTCACATCACTTTACTGTAATGCAGCATTAAAAAACATATTATGCCATATCCAAAATTTAAGACAATAACTAGTCTCATATCACAATATCGATATATAATATCAATATTTTGCTCAGCCTCAGAGGAAATGCACTCGCTGGTTTGTTAGACCTTTGGGGACACACAGTGTAAAGGGGCCTTTAGGAACCAGAGGACACCAGACAGCATCCTTCACATTCAGGCAAAACCAGACTGCATTTGGAGGAGCCTTTAAAATAGGACTGGTTCTGTCAACCTGTTACTCCACTCACTTTAAAGGCAGACTTTGACAGATGCAGCCCCTGAAATAGGACACACGAGTGTATCTTTGTGGTTGTAGTGTGTTCAATGCAGCTCCCCTAACCTAGACACTCACTATCCATCTTCCTATCGGACCCACTCGCTGCCTGTTTGTAGTCCTGTTTAAATGTATTCAAGTGTTAATCTCAGTTTACCTGCATAGAGCACAGTTTGCGTGTCAGAATGTGCACTTTTCACCAAATGTCTCGATCCAAAGCTGCAGACAAATCCAAATATGAAAATGACACTGACATGGTAATGCAGGTGAACATTGTTAGAATGGATTTGTGAATACAACATTTTAGGAAAACAAACTTTAGGTGCAACACAATATCATTAAACACATGCAGAGACACAGAAAGAAAATATTTCCTGTGGCATGGGGACCAGTTAGATCCCAAATCCTATATTTTATTTTGATTTGTCAAAATGAAAAATTCACAGTATAATCTCCACAACAGAGTTACCTGCAAGAGATGATGAATTTTAAGAAAGCACCCAACATTTCTGCCATAAAGATCGAATGTTGATTCCAAATTATTCTCAGACGACAGAGTTCTTTAACTCAGAAACACACAAAAATTAAAGAAATACTGGAGTCACACCAAACAGATCACAATACTTTCCAAACTTTAAATACATTAAGAATACCAGAGATCATTGCTTAAATAAATTCTACAAAAATATCTGTTGTACATGTAATATATTTACATTGACTGTAGCTTGTGGCGGTTGTGTCAGTGTTATCCAAAACCTTCCTCATCATCAATGAATCCATCAACAACTGGTCCAGAACAGTTCTATCACAGTGCATTTACTCCAAACTCAAATGTCCAACACATAGTGTAGACAACTGGTAGTATCAAATTATTACTTATACCCATCAAACTTAAATTCCAAAATCATTTCAACTGTATGTTATATTCTTGCTTGTTATTATGAAATGAATTATGAAATGAAATATTGTCCCGTATCAGGGAGTGTTACTTTTGACTGATACACTCTCTTGTTTTGTTGCAGCACACAGCAGCAGTCCCAAACCGCCAGATGCATTTATTCATTTGGCCCTAATGAAATGATTGGACGGGCTACCGGCCGACATCTTTTCTTCCGACATAGCTAGCTAGCTCTGACAATGGGCACAACACCTGTCTCATAGCTAGCTAGCTCTGACAATGGGCACAACACCTGTCTCATAGCTAGCTAGCACAACACCTGTCTCATAGCTAGCTAGCTCTGACAATGGGCACAACACCTGTCTGCTAAATAAGTCATTGAACAAATTGGAGATGCAGGCAGTGATTCAGAGGTTTGGAACCAGGCTATTTTGGGAATTTAAGTAAGAAATAATTTATTTCGGTTCTTATTAACAATTTTCCAAAAGGACTGCACATAAAGAATAAATAACAATAGGCATTAGATTAAATGGAAAAACAAACAAGGCCAAAACAACCAAAATTGATCTCACTATTTGGTGATGAAACAAAATCAGGGAGTTTTTTAAAAAGCTAGCATTACCCAAGTAGCTCAACACTTCGCTGATTTCAGTCATAAAGAAAATTTGACTTTCGGTAAGTAAAAAAAAAAAAAAGACTTGGCGAGTTTGCACTTGATGACGAGGATAACACCATGCACATTTTTACAGTGACAACATAGATGGTAATAACGCTAACTGCTAGCTTCTTTTTGCCACAAAAAGCAGAAGCATTGCTCACATCCATTTCCAATCGTCAGCCACTGTTCCTAATGTAAAAAGGCTAAGATGGAGAACAGGAGCAGAGAACCAATCTGGACAGACCTGTGGACATTTCTTCCAGACGACGAGGATAGTGATTGCATAGTCTTTATAAATGACAGAGTTTTTAAGTCAGCCTCTCCTCTTCTGTTGTTGTTGCCTTCACACATTATCAAACTTGTGTTTTAAATAGTCTTTCATAACCTTTGCAATTGGTAGATCCTCCAACAACTTCAAGCTTTGAAGGCCGATGCAGTGACGGATCTTTATACGACACAAGTCTTGTAGAGTCCGAGGTTGTCCTGCAAGAGGAACAGAAACTGTTATTACACAGTGGATTAATGCTCATTACTACGGCCTGACCCATACATGGGTGGAATGACTTTTGGCTTATTGCAGACAAGTCATTATTGGTATTTATCTTGGGAAATTAGTAACAAGAAATGAAAATTTGGAAAGCCAAAGATAAGTGCTTGAGCTATCACCAATGTCCATTTTGCATAGTTTGTCCACAGGAGAGCACTGATCCTAGTTACCTGAAAACAGTAAAACCTATATGAGCCTGATAAACAGTTCCATGACAGTATAAGAATGACAGCCTCTAGAAGACACACGCTTGCAGTGCATCTGTTCCTAGATCAGTATCCTAGAAAGTCTCAAAGCTAGCTAATGTCATAGATGGTCAGTAGAGAGGAACATAGCTAATAAGCTGTTAATGCAGTGCCTCAGAATCCAGACCAGGAACCCATGATGGAAGTAGTTAAAGAGTGAGCCACCTCGCTTCTGTCTCATCTCTGTAGAGTTGCACATGCTCAGTACCGAGCGGGCAGCTGCTACCACAGCATAAACAAAGCTTGTTTAAAATGTTGTGTTGTGTCTACAGCTTGTACTGTGTGGTATTGTAGTCAATGTTGTTGAGGGGATTTCCATATTGTATATGGAAGAGTAAAAGCATTAAAGGATGGCAGCACAAGTGTCGAACACCTGCCTACTGCTTGCGTGCAGCTAATGGTGCTCACAGCGCTAAAAGTGCAAACAAAGGCCACAGTGGTGACAGAGCTAACAGTGTTAACTTCGTGCTACGCTTCCAAGATGACATTGTGAGTCAGGGTGGCGTTATCAGCTGTAACTGCCGTATGAGTGCAGTGCATAGCGGTGGCCATAAGCTGGCTACTGGGGCACGCTCACATGCACCAACATCTACTCATCCTCATACAACGGTTTGTATATCGCACCCAAAGTGACTTGTCATTTTTGGTGCAGCAACAGCTGTCAATTTACGCTGGTTACATGCATACAGTCTTTTAAATGAGCTTCCGCCTTAACAGGAAACAATGCAGTTAGGTTTAGGTAACAAAACTACTTGGTTAGCTTTTGGAACAATTTCACTCCTCGATGAAATTCACGGAGCGATGATGTTATGAACCCAGACAAGACACCGTTTAGTTTCCCAGGACATGTGGGACTTCCACAACATGTACAAAGCAGAAATATGGTTATTTCTTCCATGGTGGTGGAAATAAATGACTTAGTTGATAACGGTTTCCATGGAGATAAGCCCCTCCGACTCATCTAGCGCGAATGAAGCGAACGATGCAAATAAACACAAATGATCCCACGATCAAACTCCTGCGAGTAACGCAACGCGAAAATTGGAAGTGACCCATTTATTTTACGGAACGAGGTTGATTTTTCTGAGCTGTCGCACCGTAAACACATCATCATTGGCATCAACCAATCACATTGTGTGGAACGGGTTGAGTCCCACATATAATATAGTAACTTTATCACTTCTTTAAACTGTGACAATGTCAACACAGACCAGATCCAGTCCTTCTGTTCTTACCTTTCAAAATAAAAGCCCTAGATATATATATTATATTCTCAGGCGAGTATTTTGCAATTTCCTGCTGTTCATTCGTCACGCCCCACTCACTGAGTGCAAACACTATCCTCAGGTCAACAGGCTGCACACTCTACAGGAGGTAGCATTATGCCTTTTTTAATGATTCATTGACTTTGAAGATCAGAAATCTAGACTTGTTTTTTCAAAAATTATGTAGAGTATGTATAAGATTTTGGCTTTGCTTGAAGTTGGAACCTTTGTATGAGGACAGTTGTACATGTTGCAGTATTTGACATGAGAAAAACCGAGGGGAAGCAAAAGGGCTGGGTGTCTGTCATACAGTGTGGGACAAGCCTTTCATGGCATATGAGTTAATCCAGGAGGCAGAGGTGTAATCAATAACCCACAGATATGTGATCTGGCTGAGGGATTGGAGTCTCTGAAAGGACTTGTCTGAATCAGTATCTTTGATATCAAAGTGCAGGGGGCAGCGGAGGAATGCAGCCATTGTTCCCCAAATCACAATGCTTCAGGTAATGTTCCTCCACCCTGGGATTGTTCCGTGGCTGAACACTAGTCATTAGAACCTCGTGCTGGCACGCAGCCACCTTGAACCCTTTACATGTTTCCACCTTTTTCCTCCTCACAACTGCCAATAAAAACTTGTTTTGTGCTGAACTTGTAATCCTTTTCTACACCCCATTCACTTTCACAGATTTCTCAGTTCTACTCAGTTGTAGTCATACTGCAAGTCCTAATGTCTCAGTACTAGGGGTGTATATTAGCTACAATATTATATCGATTCTTCGGACAATAGCGGTGCAACAGATCATAAAACTCATGGTTTGCATTGTATCACATTTTTGAGTCAAGGAGTAGCACAAACTAATAAAGGGAGCAGATACAAATTTTAAAGATGCGCCGATACCAACTGCCCATCATCGATGATCCATATCGTCACCACCATCCTAAAAATCATTTGAACCGCTCTGAAGTCAGTGTAAACCATCAAAAGTTCTAAATCTTTTCCTTTCACTTTGTTAGTCATCTATAGTGGTTATATGCATAAAAACACACAGTTCTAACTATTAGTAGATTTAATGATGCATCATAAGCTGATTAGCGCTAGTGTTAGCAAGTTTAACAGGTCATAACTCATCGCTAATATTTATTTTTATTGCTGCAAAAACATCTTCAAACTATTATATTTGAACACATCATGATGATGTTATAATTTACCTTCGCCCAGTACTCGTTTTTACTGAACAGAGCCTGAACACATCATAATGTAACTCAGGAAACCTACGAACATTAGCTGTTAGCATCCATGATGCAAACGTTACTAGCTCTCCTCCTGCTCATTTCATCACACATTTGTGACATCAGGGGTCAACGCTCACGTCCTGATCACATATCGTTACTGAACATCAGCCGATAACAACTGGCAGTAAAACTGTAGTTCCTACTCTGATGGTAAAACTCTGTCAATTAATCCGCGTTACACCACTATTGGAAAACCATATGATATTTACTGATTTCACAAAGTCTGTCATGATATGATTTTGATTGGATGAAATTCAGGGGCCTGCGATCGAGCAGTATCATATTGCAAGTCTAACTAAGTAAAGTAACGATGTCATATAGGTTTAAAAAGAACAGCCTGCAAGATTTATATTGACCTTTATTTTAGCTTTATTCTTATCTGTCAATAGAATCTATTTTTTCACACTGTTGTTCCATACAACCCATAGCTTTAGAATCATTCTTTCAACACTGGTTGTGAGTGCATGATGATCATTACAGATTGAAACATCAGCCTCTGTCAAATAGACATCTCTGTCTCCCAAGTCTCAAAAGTCAACTTGACTGGGCCCAGGTCGTATTGCTGGGCCCCCTGGAGAGAAGAGAGGCACAGGAGGACCAGGACCGCACAGAGAGTACTGAAAGACCTTGCTCCAGTAAAATGAGGTTTTCTTAAAAGGACTCCGGTGCTCGGAAACACTACTACTTCCGTCCACAGGGGGCGCCAGAATCAACACAAAATGAAAGTTCCTTTAAGTAACTTTAAGTAAAAGTAGGCCTATGAATACCCCGATTAAAAAAAAAAAAAAAAAAAACTCTGTTACAAGTAAAACTTTCAAAATCTTACTCAAGTAAAAGTATGTAACTAAATAATAAAAAATATATACTTCAAGTATAAAAGTCAAAGTACTTACTATGCAGCCAAATGGGCTCTTCAGGTGTTACATTATTATAATTATTATCATTATTACAGTAACATGCAAGATGCATTTCAATGTAACTGGTTGGGTGGTTTAATCTACTTTAACAATGCATTGTACTTCGTGTACTCGTAAATAAACGTAGTGAAGTAAAACATACAATATTCCCTGTCAAATGTAGGAAAGTAGAAAGTAGCATCAGAATTGTACTTAAGTAGAGTATTTGAGTAAATGTACTTAGTTACATTCCACCACTGATCACTACCAAACAGAACATGTGTATACCTGTGAAAAAGTCAGTTATTTATGCACATCTGTGGACAATTCCAAAAAAAGATGATATCAAAATATTGATTGCAGAAAATTACTTGATGACTAATTTAATGAAGGATTTATAGTATAAGTAATTTAGCATGTATGACATTTGCTAGTTTAAACTTTTCAAATGCTTTGCTTTTTTTTGTGGTTCTATCAAGTATATCTGGAGTTTTTAAATGTTGGTGAGAAAAAAAGCATTAGGACTTGTGTTATCATTATTACTATTCATAAGATGAACTAGCTGTTAAATTGTTTTAACTCGGTGTGAACAGGTGGAACGCAGTGGGACATGTAGTGTGTTGGTGAGACTCACTGGTGGCTTCCTGGAGGAAGTCCAGACAGGGCCGGCTGATCCCAGACATGCTAACAGATACAGCTACTGGTGTCTGGCCCTCGTAGTTCCTGGTGTTGGCATCAGCCCCGTACGTGTACAGCATCTGGGCGCACATCACATCATCCCTGAGGGCGGACAGGTGCAGGGGCGTCTGGCCGTCTTCAAGGCGTCCCAGATTAGTGTCCGCTCCCCGCTGCAGGAACATGCGGCAGTATGAGTGATTTCCTTTGATGACGGCATATCGCAACAGGAAGCCGTTCTGAATGTCAATGTTGGCACTGTGGTCCAGAAGGATCCGTACACAACTGGAGCGCTCACGAATGATGGCCAACTGTAGTGGTGTGGTCCCTTTGTCACTCAGGGGGTCCACCTCGGCCCTGAACTCGAGGAGGAGGCGTACAAACGAGTCTCGGCCGTAATGGGCGGCCACGTGCAGTGGCGTCCAGCCGTCATTGCTTTTTGCATTTATAATGTCACTGCGAAACTCAGATTCCAGCATCAGTCGGGCGATGCGTGCTCTGCCATGCATAGCAGCATAGTGAAGTGCAGTGAAGCCGCCAATAAAGTCCTTCACTGTGGGGTCAGCTGCACAAAGGAGAGTGGAAAGAGTTGAAATGAGAGGAAAATCCATAATCCATACAAAAGAGTTTTGCTTTGAGTCCACACTAACTGTCCCCTAGTTGGTATTATACTCTAGGTGCACTACTACACCTCAGGATTGTGACAAATACAGGGCACCCGAGTTCAGACACAGCTAGACATTATGACCAAGCAACAGATTTCCTCAGTGTAAAAACGTGAAACGTCCTTTAACTGTTCATATCAATTTCCAGTGGGCAGGGATAACATGACTTTAGAGCAAAAGACAGAACAGCAGTTTTACACACTAGTGTCAACAGTCAGGTTTACTTAAAGGAGCAGTGTGTGAGATTTAGTGGCACCTCCGCTCCCAGGTCGGAGAACTACGGTGGCCTTCAGGTAGGGATTTATATCTTTAGCATGTTATTACTACAAGGAGCTACTTTTATCAATCATTTTAAAAAGAAGTAAATTCAGAACAGGATTAGATCTTATTTATAATTTAGATATAACTGAATATTGTTTCTAGAGCAGCAACAGTTATGTTTACAACAGCAAAGTCACTAAATAAAGTCATTCATATCTCACTGGAAACAAATGTAAAATGTCAATGAAATAAATAATTTTTCTGAGTGAAGTTTAGAAATAACAATCAATAATGAAGACCACAGACATCAGATAGTATCAGACATGCACTATCCTCCTGTCTGCTTTATCTCAGCCAGCAGAGACGTTCACAGTTACACCGCTTCAGTTTCAGCTGGTTTGTAAAAGAAAAAAAGAGATTTTTGCCGATTGTGCGTGCTGTTCCCGTGTAAACATAGCGGCCGATTACATGTTGAACAGATGTATTGATAAAGTATTAAATGTTTTATTACAGTAACAATCGTAGTTGCCGTCAACTCTAGTATTAAATTACACCAAAACATTAAAAAGTACTAATAAAAAGCCACAGTGAGGTCAGAGCTTATCAATACTCTGATCTTTAACAATCAGAGGGAAGTTTAATACAGAGTTTTGGTAGCCATCCCTGCTTTTAGGTAGCTGCCGTAGAATCATAGTGGAGCAACATGACAGACTCCATGGAGGACGACCCGCTCCCTATGTAGATATAAATGGCTTTTTCTAAGCTAAACAAAAGATTCTTAGTTTTGGTCACTAATGAAAACATAGGTTTGCATATTATATTCCATTTCTGCCAATTAATCCCCCTAAATGGTACACACTGTTCCTTTAAAGGGCCATTTATCTACGCTCACAAAGTAAGATCAAACTGAAGCAATCCATTCAGTGAGTTAGAGGAAATATAGTCGTCTTTAAGGTGTGTTTGGCAGAAAATGTAGATATAATTAAAGCTACAGGAAACTTTAGTAACATTCTAACAGAACAGGTGTTTCTATTGCACCAGCTGTAGAAATGTCATCAATAACTCTCTTTATTTCCTCGTTCACATGCCCATGCTGTATAATTACAATATTGGAGTTACGGTAATTACAGGTTTCAATTATGATTAGCAAACCTAGATTTTGCAGAAAATTCTGATATGTTACTATTATTGATATTTTTTATTGTTACTTGTGCTTCATTTATCTGCTTTTCTTGTTATGTGAAGCACTTTGTAACATCTGTATTGAAAAGTGCTGTATAACACTTTCACAATGATCACGTACATCATGCTTTATAAACATGCTTGTACTGCATTATAATCAGCTTATAGCACTGTACATATTCAATATGCTTTAGAACAATAACTATAACACATTATTAAGCATGTTATAATGACTATTTATGGCAGGTATCATAAGACTTCATCATTACTGGTTACTGACCAGTATTGTAACTAAAGTATAATGACCATAGTTGTCCTCTAGTTTCCTGTTTTGCATTACAAAGTATGTATAAGTTACAATAAGTGGTTATTGTTTGCTTTAGTGATGTATCAAAGCTTTCAGACAAATCTAAGTTCTAAGTTTACTGATTGTAATTTAAACATAGTCTGTCGTTGAAGGAAATAAAACCCAAATGTAACGGCCATAGTTGTATTTCAATGTGTTGTGTAACTTCAAATGCTTTTTATAGCATCATATATATACATCCTCAGATATAGATTTAGAAAACAAAATATTCAACATCACATATTGTAAGGACTATTTCCTTGCTGTTTGAAGAACATATGTGTGACATCATGTTATATATTTTTCAACTGGAATGGCTTTCAACCAACACAGAGGTGAATGAAAGGCTGTCTCTTCCAGTAAAATAATGACCTCTAGTGTTAAGACCCATTATGACATAATGCTCACCACCAAATGAAGTCAACCTCAACAGCAAGACGAAAAAAAGACAAAGCCTCTGACCTCCATGCTCAAGAAAGACTCGAACACATCTCTCTTTCCCTTTGGCAGCAGAGAAGTGGAGCAGTGTCCAGCCGTTGGCGTCCCGGATCTTCGGTGAGTATCCTTGCTCCAGCATTCTCCTGACCGTGCAGACATCCCCCGCTGCCACTGCAGCCTGGATCTGCAGCTCCTCATGAAGCTCAGGGTTCCTTCTGCAGTGATGGTTCAGCATCCTGTCACATTTCAGAATGGGAATGTTCATCTGTACTTAACAGATGGGAATGCTAGTTTCTGACTCAGCTGCCAAGGGTTGGTGACCTCACTGTTGTGCACCTCTAGTAGACAGGTGCTTGGGAAAATGATGCCTTGCAAAAGGAGCTAGTACACCAAGTTGACTGAAAAACCGGTTAAAGACATAACATGAAAGACCATCTTTACACACTCACGCACTCCTTTAAATCAGGCCCAACGGTGTAAGCATTTCACTGAATATGTGAGTGAAAATTTGAATGTGACTAATTATTTGGGCGCACACAAGTTGAGTAACAGAGTTCAGACAATGTGAAGAGCAAAATACAGCGATGGGCTCAGCGCAGAGGTGGACATAACATTCAGGTCGCAGCTGCTCATTTTCAGTCAGAGCTACTTTCTTTGGTTAAAATGACAAACGTCTCTAACATCGTGTTCATGTTCATACAGCGAGTAACTTGATAACAACTGTTTTCTGGTTAAAGTGCCCTCTGCCTCGTGTCTGTCCTCGGCTCCAGATCCTTTGTGAGGAATAAGATGCACTCTGAGACTGTACAACAACAGTGGACTGACATATACACTGGCATGGGCTCACCCCTTTTACACTGCTAATAATTGACTGACATCCAACTGTATGACAATACTGTACGACAATACCCAACAAGCAATACGTTGCTACGTTGCTTAGCGTCAGACTAGCTCAGCTGTGATTTAGAATGAGTTCAGCAAAAACAGCTTGAAGTTTTGTGATTTTTCGATGCAGTAGACGATATCAGTAACTGCCAAAGAAATGGAAATATGGAAAAAATATAGTTTGCGTTATCATTTAGTCTAGTGCCACTTTTAATTGTCTCTTGATTTTTATAAAAAGGTAAATCATATCATAGAACATCGCCCTACAATAATGACTGTCGCATCAATATTCTGTCAGCTTACATTACAACAAAGGGAATGGGTCTTACAGAACATCTGACCATTTTTTCCGCTGTCACTCATAGCCTCGGTTGGGTGAACATGCCTGTATAACAAACTGACACACTGACCTGATGTCTGCAGATATTAATCTTGTTCTGCTGCATTAGTTCATACAGACATGTTATAAATTTGACCTCTTCCGGTTTGTTAGATAACCAGTAAGCTTCTTTCTGGACTCAAACATGAGACACCTTCCAAATGTAATTACACAGCTACATTAGTTTGACACCTATGCAAGAGTTGTCTTTATGATATCATACATGGTGAGAAATCAACAAATGCATTAATACAAGTATAATCCTTATAGGGAACTATATGAGCTTTAAGTTCAGTTGAATATGTGTACAGCAGGTTTAACTTAAAGCTTCCATTCAGGGATCTCTAGCGCCACTAAGGTGATTTATACAGGACAAAGCAGCTGGATTAGACTGAAGCAGAAGTTATGCTTCATGCGTTCGCATGGCAGCGAGTGTGTGTGAGATTCATTTTGTCAGCTACCCATGTCCACACAGATCAAGTGTCCAGTGCAGACCGACCACAAGCTGCCTGCCAAAATGTATAACCTTCTGGACTTCAAGCGTGGCCCACACAAATATACGTGAACACGCCACCTATGCACACACCCAGTGTAGTATAAACACATTTGTGTACGCATACGTTGTCTGGGTACTTTTTGCAGTATGTCCAGCTCCTAAATCATTGCTGCAATGTAGATTGCAGGTTCGGAGGACATGGAGTTTCAGAGAGACCACATGGTTTTGTTCCAGACCACACAGGTTTAACTCAAATAGTTTTTGTTGTTGAGAGAAATTACTTCTTTTAAGTATTTGAACTTATTTTATTGAACACGAAAGTCAAAAACTAAAAAGTAATTTACCTTTTGACAAGCTGAAGAGACGGGCTTCTCTTAGTCATATCGGAGCTGCACCTGTAGATACACAGCTGCACTGAGAGGCTGAGACAGGACCAGCACTCTGCAACACACAAACACACTGTCAGAAAAAAGGTGGGAAGCTGGATAGAAACACAGTGATCTAATAATAACAATCTGTATTTGATGTATTGTCGACCTATTAACGTCACACAATAGTGTGGCTTTGTTGTGCATACATTAGTAGTAGTACTAGTAATAATAACAGAACCATTACCGTTAAATGACACGAATGCCAAATGAGAGGAATGTTGCAAATTCTCAACTTGCTAATAAAAAAGAGCTCAGGTTTGAAATGAAGCTAACGCCTTATTGATCAAATCAAAGCAGTAACACGTTGCAGGCAGAACACCCAGCATGCCCTGGTCGTCACATCTCACACTAACGTCACCTTTTAGTTGTTAGCTTTACCGGTAGATGAAAAAACAATGGACAATAGAATGGCTTTACTTGCTAACATAACCAACAATACAAACCACGTACAAGTAAAACAGGAAGATAACTAACAAAAGCCGACGCAGCCAAGCGGGTAGATAAAGACAATTAGTTTCACACGTTGCAGACAATGTAATAAATGAAAGATTCTTTGACAAAACCCTCGATTTCAGGCTGCGTCCCAGGCTGGTAACTGTTAGCTAACGCTGGCTAGCCAGCCAGCTAACAAACTCACTAACGCTACCTTGCTAGCTTGTGTTGACTTTTTGTTACGTTACTTGCTGGAGTGGGTAACTACAGATAAACCCCAACACACAGCGTACATCGGTACTAAAGTTGACTACACATTTACTGACAAACACAACAGTTTTGACAAAATAAAACAAAGACTTAACATACTTGACAGACGCTGAGCCGACGTTTAACTTAGCCAATCAGCTTCCAGACAGGAAGAATTGAGAGTTGTCAAAGCTGCATATTTCTGTTCCTTTCAACTAAAGTCCATCACTTAACAGCAATAATGTCTATTAAAACTTCCCTAAATGTCAGTCGTAGCAATGTTGCGCATTATTTCGCTGTTGAACAATCCGCTTTAACAACAAAGTATCTCTGTGAACACATCAGTTTGACCCCAGCAGCAAAAACAATACGATTTCCGGCGTCTCCAGTCCTTCAGAATAAAACACAATTTCCTCAAATCTAAACTGACCACAAAACGTAGAATTTGCAAAAACATTAGAAGAACTACAACAAAACAAACAAGAACCAAACAGTGATTAACATATTGGATATACATTGTAGAGGTAACAGAAATTTGGAAAGCTGGGAATATACAAAATACTCTGTTATTCTGTTAAATATTCTGGGATTTGGATTAATATTGTGACCAGTGGTGGAACATTCTTTACTTGAGTTACAGTACAAGGCTAATACCCTACTGCAAAAACACTCTATTATAAATAAAGTGATCCTCTGTTGCTCTCTTGGGTTCTTCGTTTTTCCCCGTTAAAGTTTTTTTTGGGGGAGATTTACCTTTTCCAATGTGAGAGTCCTTGAGACGCGATGTCTTGTGCAGTACAGATTGTAAACCCCTCTGAGGCAGATTTTTGATTTGGGGCTTTACAAAGAAAAACCTACATCACAATATTTCTTTAGTTCAACCAACAGTCCAGACTTCAACATTATTACTAATTCATTACAATAATACACTTTATTGAAAGGAAAGCAGCAAATCTAAAACATTTGTGGAGCCTGAACCATTACATTATTTTTTACATGCAAAATGACCTCAAATATCAAAATAGTTTACAATTAATTTTCAGTCAACCGACTAATTGTTTCAGCTGTACTTGTAGAAACTGCTAGGTACAAGAAAACTTCATATTTCATACTCTATTTATGTTTTGTATTCCCAAATCTTCATTTGTGAAGTAACAACTAAAGTTAAAGTGAAGCAAAAAGTACAGTATTTCCCAACGTGTTGGAAATGTAGTCGAGGAGAAATAGAAAGTGCTCTGAAAAGAAGAGGTGCCTAAATGTTGTACTAAATAAAATACTTGAGTGAAAGTATTTAGTTAGATAATGATATAGGCCATCATACAGTCCAATCCAACAGTAATTAATAACATTTTTCCCAATGGATATCTACAGAACTCAATGTACATCTTCAACTACTAAAAAGAGAAGAGAGTGGTCAGAGATGAAAGTAAATAAAATTGGTTACTTAGTTCAAGAGCAAATTAGAAGATGACTTAGAAGATGTCATGAATGACTTTTTGTCATTTGTAACACATCGCAGTTCTTGATGGTATCTATTACAATTAATGAAATGATGATTAAACAATGCAATCCTTTAGTGACTCATCTTATCTCAAATCAGATTACATCCGTCAAATCAAGTTTATTGTTACATACAATCGAACACAGCTCAAATCCGATATCAGTGGGCTGCCACACAGTGACCAAGGAGATCTATCTAACAGTATCACCAAAAGTGGAGAACCACAGTAAAATCTTGACAGTTATTTATTCAGTAGGTGATTTTATGAAACCTTAAGAACATTTTTAATTTACATTATCTCATACTCAAATGCTGTTTTCATCCATTGCAAGATTTTCTTAGATAACGTTCATGATTTGACTAAATGATATTCTGCACTATCTGAGTCCAATAAGACAGTGTTATTAACTGCATCTTAATAGGGGGTAAATACTTCTGTTACAAATTAATGTTAAATGAAGGTCCTGTCTTTCCAAGTTCCTATGTTCCCATGATCATATGTTTCCAAGGTCCTATGTTCCCAGGGTCCTATGTTCCCAAGGTCCTATGTTCCCAGGGTCCTATGTTCCCAAGGTCCTATGTTTCCAAATTCCTATGTTCTCATGATCATATGTGTCCAAGGTCCTATGTTCCCAGGGTCCTCTGTTCCCAAGGTCCTATGTTCCCAGGGTCCTATGTTCCCAGGGTCCTATGTGTCCAAGTTCCTATGTTCTCATGATCATATGTGTCCAATGTCCTATATTCCCAGGGTCCTATGTTCCCAAGGTTCTATGTTCCCTGGGTCCTATGTTCCTAGGGTCCTATATTCCCAAGGTTCTATGTTCCCAGGTTCCATTTGTTTCTAAAGTCCTATGTTCAGGGTCCTATGTTCCCAAGGTTCTATGTTCCCAGGGTCCTATGTTCCCAAGGTTCTATGTTCCCAGGGTCCTATATTCCCACGGTTCTATGTTCCCAGGTTCCATATGTTTCTAAAGTCCTATGTTCAGGGTCCTTATGTTCCCAGCCTCCTATGTTACCACGGGCCTATATTCACAATATGTTCTATGTTCGTCAATATTGTGCTAACAAAAATAAATTTTCCCAGGGCTCTATGTTAAACTCCATTCTATGTTCCCTTTGACAAGTTCCCACAATAGCCCATGCCATATTAAGTGAATAGAGTTGGGAACATAATTCCCATTATATACTGTACAGAGCTGCTGAAACAACCCATTCTAATTCACAGGTTGTCAAAAACGTACCTTTTATAACCCAAAGCACTTTCTGTTCCTAATGTTGCCTTAAACTAAGTGACACGAAGGAGTCCTGACCAAGAATGTGACCATTTGGGAATAAGAATGGGTTGGGGGAAACGTAGGACCCTGGAGAGCACAAATGTAGAGGATCCTGGGTACATAGAACCCTTTGTAATATTTCCATTATGTACCATATAAATCTGGGAAACATAGGACCATGGGAACACAGCAACGTTTTATTATACTATAAGTTATTTTCTTCTGTTTTGTCTTCGTGACTATATGGTTAACAATATTTACTCATGATGCTCTCCATGTAGAGTGTAGGCTAACGTTTGAAAACTGTACTTCCGGTCATATAAATTACTATTGAAAAACGTTTATGTCAAAATAAAAGTCTCCCTTATAGAGTTTAACGTTTCCTCATCCTTACACCTCTTGTAAACATTGTAATTGAATGTGCAACAGTTACATTCAAGTTCCTTGTTTACCAAAAGATGCATGTTATGTTATGTGCTATCTGGTGTGGCAGTACAGTCCGTGGGGTCTTGGCTTGGGATGCTGAGAATTTCTGGATCTCGTGTCCACACAGACCAAGCACGGACACTGCCCACTGCTCCTGGTAGCTACGATGGGTTAAATGTAGAGGCGAACTTCTCTGTATGCTGTGCTGTACAATTGTGTGACAATACAACCTGACCACCAGACATGGGCAGTATTTCTATTACTTGTATTTCAAATACGTATTTCAATTACTTTTGAGTATTTTGTAATTTGTATTTGATCGGGCCGATAAAAATCTAATGTAATTTGTAACAAAATACTTTAGAGTGGAGTAATTTTGTATTTAAAATACTCAAAATACTTTCTCCACCATTCAAAAAACAGTTCACAAGTTCAGTCTTCAGATCTTCAAATTCAACAGATTGTCTGAATGTCTGAGTGTGACAGATGTCAACTAGCTTGATTTATGTCTGGGTCTGGCTACATAGCCTATTGTATATACATGGTGATGGTTATAATATCAAGCTAGTGATCGATGCTAACATGCTAATGACGCTAGCATGCTGTCTAGGCTAGTGCATAGCCAGTGTTTAGCAAGTTAACTTATCAGTCGAGTAGCTAGCTATATAGGAAGAGGGAGATTGGGAGCTTGTATGTTCATGATAACCTTATCAAGAGACGTCTGACCATCTAATCTTGCACTGTATTACAAGTTATAACCTGGAGGACACCAGAAAAGACCTGCTTTCTCTTCAGCAGTACCCACTTATCAAGCTCCTTTTTGTTCAATTTAACACAACCCTCCCCTCTTCAGCTCCGGTTGAGAGACTGTTCTCGTTTGCAGGAATAATATTCCATCCGCACAGGAGGCGGTTAACACCAGAAATATTTGAAAAGTTAGTTGTTCTTAAAGGCAACTAAACTGGCTACTCAGTGGTTGGGTCTCAAGAACCAAAATGGAAGGATTATTATGTCATAAAGATGTCATTGTGAACCTGTATGAGACACTTAACTGTAATATAGAACTATGTGGCCTACCATGCCACTGGCCAATGTAAGAGAGAAATGAGTAGGCTACCATGCCACTGGCCAAGGTACAGTAAAAGAGAAGTAAGTAGGCTACTCACTTGTTAAGTTACCTGTTCACTTTTGTATTGATTTACTATTTACCTTTTATTTTTATTAATTCTTCTGTGCAGAACTTGATGTACAGTAATTTGTTTAGGCTCTTTACCTGTGTACAACTGGTTTTAATTCTATATTTTGCTTTTATAGTATACATAGGCCTAATGTGTGATGCTATTCATATGTGATGAATATTTTCTTGTTGAAGTTTATGGGCTGTTAAGTCCCATTGATAAAAATGTATATATACATAATCAATCAAGTTGTTGTCTTTTAATAGCTTTGCTTAGTTACACAGACATTCTGTGACTGTTCTTCCTTTTTGTGGGCTTCACCAGAGCTTTGTGTCCATTATATAGCCCAAACCTGAATGCTCTGCTATACCAAATTGTGAGAAAACGGAAAATCCAGAAAAAAGTATTTCCTATATTTTAAATACAAAATACATGTATTGTATTTTGTTACATTTTCTGGCACCAGTATTTTGTATTTTATTTTAATACATTTATTTGAGGGGTATTTTGTATTTTGTATCAAAATACATTTTGATGTATTTTTGCCCATCTCTACCACCAATAATATTTAGCCCAAGACTGTACTGCTGCTAATATAGGCCACAACATATCTAGTGGACTACTTGAGCAGTCAGTCCATGTGTACTGTCATGATTCATGTCATGTCATGCTGTGGTCGTCATTGATGTCTAGTCCACCAGAACCAAACGAGCTGGAGTTCGTTTTATTTTACGGCTCATCTGGCATACATCCGGTCTTATTTTGTTAACTCTAGGTGACTTGACTCCGGCTGACTTCGGCGTTATTTGCGCCAGCACTGCTTCCGCGTGTATCACATGGCAGGTCCACGCGGAAGAGGCAGCATCATGGAGCGCATAACGAGCAGCAGAGACCGATCCACCATGAGAGAGCGCTTCGACTGTCTAACAGATGCGTACAGATGTTTTCTGTCGGGATCGTGTCCCAGCCAAAGGGCTGTGGATGTGGCTGGCCTGATATTGTCCGGGGTGTGTGGACTCGTCCCCGAGGTCGGAGCGCTTTCTCTATCGGCGCATTGCCATGACAGCAGCGTGGAGCTGACCTGCCTCAGCTTGACTCTGGTGGAGAGGATCACATCCCGCCTGACGTCTCGGAGCCTGTCTCCAGCAGTCACGTTGTACTGCGTGGAGATCCTGGTGGTGTTGTTTCAAGACCTGGGTCTCATGTCACATCTTGTAAGTCCCCCTCTCTCCTCGGGCTAACTAAAAAACACAAATGCATTTTAAACGGCATAGGCCTACGCGTTTTCTGAAAAGACTTCTATTCCACAGATTCACCAGTTCCAGACTGAGGACCAGATCATCTCGCATCTAGCTGCAAAGACTGTATCGACGTGTGTTTTCTATCAGCTCCACCAATCTGTGAGTTCTCAGGGCTGGATTCCGGATCCTTAGAAACACCGAGGTTAAGTGGGCTTCACGCAGTCCGTCTCTTTGGTGTGAATCTTAACTGGGGAACTGTCTTTACGTTTAACACATTTTTAATTCATTTAAGAGATGCAAAACAACTGCAAAGAGACTCGCAACCACAAAAGGCTACAAAGACACACAAAGCAACAATATAAAGATGCTCAACAACTATAAAGTCAATGTGTTTTACTTTTGGTCTGAAAGCTGCCCTACACATCTGGACATGGACCAGAAAGGCTCGGGTCAGGAGAGGACAGAGTTTTACAGCGAAATAAAACAAATCTAGAATTGAGCTAGTCAGCCGGGATTAGCAGCAGTTATTTGATCAATACTAGCTTCATATAGTATACGACATATTGTACTATGTTCCAACATTATATGTGTATAATATATATACTTTCATTTCTCAGGGTACAATCAGTCCTGTCTGGCAGCAGAAGTGTGTGCAGGTATTTTACAGCTCACCCTCTGGTCCTGAACTGGATGCCTGTCTGTGGTCACTGACTGAAGTCTTGAAAAGACTTCTTAAAGGAGCTCATCAAGGTAAAACCAGGTACTTTTGTCTGTTCATTTAGTGACCCATAACACTCATCTGTGTTCACAGCTGAACTTCATGTTCATGATCCAGCAGAAGCTCAGATCTTCTCTGCTTGATGTTCCTCTGATCCAGGACCGTCATACTGTGCATCACAGTCATTGCTATCTCCCAAAACCAGACTCATGAAATTTGTTCCAAGAAGAGTATTGAGAATGCAGACAATCGACCGTTTGGATGAAATTCCATGTGGTGAGTGTGATTCCTGAGTGGTGATGTCATTCCGATGCACTGCAACAGGAAATAAACTGGGACACATTTGGATTGTTTATGTTTACGACTGTGAATTGGTCTATTGCCCGGTCAATACAGGATTTTAAGGTCCAAACCAATGGTGATATTTGAGAGTTTAACAATAACAATAACTTGGTAGCTGAATGGTTTCAGCTGCAAAGACGCCAGTTCAGTTTCAGCTGGGGACCTGTGTTGCATGTCATACCCCCCTTTCTCTACCCAAATTTACTGTCAGCCTCGTCATTGTGAACTGTCACAGAAAAGCGAAAATGCCCAAAATAATCTTCAAAACAATAATGGTATATTGACTGAAATTCATTGTGACATTAAAGGTGCTCAATGCTAAATTCAGAGCATATCTAATGTCTCCACACGGCTCTCAACATGGAGACGGCTGAGCTGACGGCTAGAAGCTAACGGTGCTAACAGTGCAACCAATGGCAACAGTGCTGACAGAGCTTACAGTGTTTACCTGAGGGGAACCGGAGGGGAACCGAAGGGCGGTGCTACGCTTCCACAACGCCGTGGGTCTGGACGGCGAATTCAGCTGTAACCGTCGTATGAGAGCCGTGGGCTAACCAGTGGGGCACACTAACGTGCACCACAAGGCACACTAACGTGCACTAAAAGGC